GCAAATTAATTAGTAAATATAGAGATTTACTTTTAAGTGCAGAAGTATTCATGCAATCACTGGATAAATATTTATCCAGTACCTTTTATGTGCCAAGCACTCTGCTCTTTGTGTTTTTAAATTATTCATGGAATTGACTAAGGTTAAAAAATTGGCTCAGGCAGCTTCTAAGAGTTATATTCCCAGATATATATATTACTCTTTGTTTTCAGTCTACTTTTCCCCTTTTAATTCTATGGAATTCCCTTTAATGCAACAGCTATATTAGGTTGAAACATGTTATATGGAATATGTAATGTAGTTTGATGGTTAAAAGGAAGACCAGAGGGCAGCACTAGCTACTAGCGGAGAAATATTCTCTTTGCTGAAGAAGTGTAGATGGCCAGTGATGAGTTTTGATCTGACCATGTGACACTTGCCCAACAGTGTGACACATCTAACCAGAGCAGCATTCTACACAGCCATTCAACCCCAGTGAATGCATGCTTCTTACTCCTACTCAGGCGACATTCAGGGGGCTAAAAATCCAGAGAGTCAGACAAGACAAAAGGAACCTTAAAGTTAAAGGCCTTAGGCCTTGGGGTTAAAAGTAAACTTTTAAATTTGTACAAAAATCTTAACTGTTGGGGATCATCATAAATAAAATTAAAAAGTAGAATTTAGGTATAAAAATCATAAAATAATTTAGGAGAAAGCACTGTTGGGTAATGTCAAGAATTGTTGTTTAATCCAGCTTTATGGAGATGTTGATTAAGATGAGACCAAGATGAGTGATAAGTTAGTCACCAGGCACAAGATGGGAGTAAAGGTGACCCCACAGAAGATGGAATGGCATGATACCTAGAAGTCTCTTCTCTAATCATGAACAGTTAATGAATTCCTCAGGGACACGTGGTTTGGGTTTTAAACGGGTCCAACAAGTTAACTTCTATTTTGTCTGCAGTATCAATCGGAGCATTTTATAGTTTCCATGTGGCTCGTAGAATAATAATAAAGGCTGGGACTGCTTCTGCAATGCAGTAAATACTTGAGTCCTTATCTTCACAGTGGTTACATATCTCTGATAGTGTTAAGGAGTCATTACTGAGGGACTTGGTTCTGGGAGTTTTACTGTTAGTCTCCTTGTAGGATTAGAAACCCGGTTACCTAATCTTATCTCATAGCATGAGCTACCTCCTTTATGAAAATATCAGCCAGGCCAGTTGGTTTACCATCAATGAATGACTTGCACAAAAAAAGTACCACAGTGACTTGAGTTTCTCTCTTTCTTTTTCGTTTTTTTTTTTTTTTAAGATTTATTTATTTGACAGAGGGAGAGAGAATGAGACAGAGAGCATGCAGGAGTTCAGGGCAGAGGGAGAGGAAGAGAGAAACCTCAGCAGACTCCATGCTGAGCAGTGGGCCTGATGCAAGGGCTTGATCTTATAACCCCAAGACCATGACCTGAGCCGAAACCAAGACTCAGGCACTCAAACAACCACTACCATCCAGGTACCCCAAGTTCCTCTCTTTTAAACACACACATATACACCCTCATATTTATAATTCATATGACATGCCAGGCCCTGTGTTACATGGTGGGGAGGGGGCAAAAGATCAATAAGACACACACTCTACCCTTGAGGAACTCATATTCTGGAAGATGAACAAATAATTATTATAGGATGTAAAAAATACAATAACAGAGATACAAAATTGAAAGTGACATGAATACATATAAAAGGAGATTGTCTAGGGATTGTGGATAAGTCCTCTTTTATTTGATGTTGACTTTACAACAAAGAAAGGCAACAAGGATAAAGAACATTTTGATATGTTGTTAGATCCAAGGCTGTAATATTATTGTTTTAATCTTGGTCATCATCCTGTGTTGAAATAGCCCCTAAACTTCCTACTTCCAGAAAAACTACCTGAAGGAAGAAGTTGAAGTAAGGCCAAGAAAGAACTAAGTACTAGATGGGAAATAGATTCTTAAAACCTAGAAACGTCTGGGATATGAAACACCAGATGGGTGAGTCTATTGTTTTGGCCGAGCAAAAGAGGGTGAAGGATATAGCAAAAGAGAACCTTGGCCCAATGTCAGGAAGAGTTTGATAGACTTGTCTTTCAAAATAGCATGTGTGGAGCTGACTGGCTAATTGTGAGGAACAGTGATCTGGAACAAAATGCCACTAGATCCACTAAATGAAGTTTACACCAGTGTGATTACTTAGAGAAATAGAAGCCACATCTTGGGTTTTGGCTAAATTGCTTAGTGAACATTTATGTTAGGTAGACCTGCCCATGAGAGAGCAGTCAGCTTTGTATCAACATTATGAAAAGTAGGACCATCAGCTATTATTGCAAAAATACATTATGGGTGGGGTAATAAGCTGAAATAAATCTTGAATGTCTGAAATAATCCTAAACCCTCGGATTGCTTTTTCTCTGGATGGAAAGCAAGAACTCTCACTGGGAACCATTTGTTCCCTGAATGATCTTGTCCCTGCCCCAGTTCATCTGAGTTTACTATGTAGTCTACGATTAAGAGTTCTTGAATATGGGATTTGTCCTTCATCTGCAAGACTAGGGTTTAAATATCCCTTCCAGCTCAAGGCATAGGAATCCTTTTATCTACGTAACTGCCTGAGAGCCAGCCAGCATGCCCTGGCACTGCATTCAGGCTGGGTCTGTTCTGATTGGTGGGTGCACTGACTGTACCAATTGTTAAATATTTTGAATATTAACAAAAGATAGAGATGTACATGTTGTTGAAGAATAAAACAAGGTGACTGATTTTAATAGACATCCTCGAATTAGTACTTTCAAACCGACAAACTTAAAAATAGCCTTCTTGGATGAGTTCTCTTCAGAACATTTTAAAAACAACATAAAAATTTTTCCCTTCAGATATTTCTGGAAGGAAAACATTCATTTGGATGTAAAAATTATGGCCTGATTGTTAAGAAATCATTTATGGTATTTAAAGTTGTGTGTGTGTGTGAGATCTCATATTAGACCACCACGGTTGGCTGGTGTTATTAAACAATGCAAATAGTTTTCTTTTGAGCTGTGCTCACCACCCCCCATTGAAGATGGAAAACAAATCACACAATGTGACAATCTGAAGTTGCACCTAAATACAAGCAGCAAAATAAAACAAAATGCCAGAAGAGCCAAAAGCATGTAATTTTATGTCTTTGTGCCGGCCGGGGGTGGGGGTGGGGAGGGGCGGTGGTAGAGATATTTGTGACTGATGAAAAAAATGTAAGAATCTGCACTAACTCACTCTGTAAGGTCAGATCTCTGCTATGTCAGGTGAAAATGTACCCCGAGTATCCGTACTTACCTTGCTATCTGAGGAAGCAAGCATGGGCCCCATTTAGATTAAGAGAGGGGCAAGAAGAGGGATATTCAAAACCCTTGTAATGGGGCTCCCAACCTGTCTGCCCTTGGTATTTATCTGTGTTGAAAATGTTATGAAAAGTGCTTGTCTGGGGACCAGACATGTATTAAATGACAGGATCTATTCAAGTGATGAATCTAGATCGTAAAACTATACTTATACATAGCTTACAGTGTTAAAAACAGTTTTCCATACTCTGCCCTGGTATGGGACCCTGGACATTTTTCACCCTCTTTTTATAGATGAAGAACCTCTGACTCAGGGAGGATAAGGGATTTTGCTCATGACCACACATTCAGTGAGGAGGTGAGGACACACCTGTGTCCCTCAGATCTCAGTCATGCTCCATGGTTCTATAACAGTGAGCAAAGACTTTGTGGATGGAGAATTCTGACCTCAGGTTCTGTCAGATAATATGGCTGCTTCTACCCTTGGTCGGTGGCTACCCTGGCAACCGATTGGGCCAACCTTTGGTATGGAGAGTCCCACTTGTGCACATGGGGCTACTACCTACCTTGTGGCAGAATCATGACTTAGGGCCTTCTTGGTATGCACCCTCATTCCTAGTTCAGTGCCTGGCATATACAAAGCACCTGGCAGATGTTGGATTAAAGACCCTGAAATGTTGCCAGGGCATAAAGGAGAGAGATGGCCCAGCTACTTGGCTCACCCACTGCGGGTGGCAGCAATCACAGTGTTTAGCTATTAATACTCCATTGGGAGACCTACTTTTTGCCAACTCAAGAGGTCTCATTCCTTGCACACAGGGGCAGGAAAGAGAATTGTTTTCCTATTTAACCAGATGAGAGTAATTTTGATTTGTCTAATCACTGCCCAAGTACTGCGAGCCACGTGGAAAAGGAAGGACATTCATTAAGTTTTCACTCATTCAGAAATTCGGCTTTGTTTAGTCAGTCCCAAGGGTCTTATTGCACATCCCAGATGAGAGAGCGAGGCTTCTCCAGGAAGTCACTTGATTGACAGCTGGCTGCCTATGTGTGTGTGTGTGTGTGTGTGTGTGTGTTTATGATGGAGCCTGGGAGTTAGACCCCACCCTCTGTCTTAGGGGTGAGCCCGTCCTAGGGGCTTCAGGAGTGTCTGTAGCACCCACCTGCTCCCACTTCTGCCCACCGGACTCAGCAAAGAATGTCAAGTTCAGGGAAAGCACTCCAGTCAGTGGGGAGAATTAATTCCCCATCCTCTGTCACCTGAGACTTTTCTTTTTACGCACTGCTCTGCGTGGCTACCTTGTCCTAGACCACTAACCACCAAGCCAACTTGATAAACTAAACTACGCCTGTATCATTAATCCCAGCTTCGCTCTGTGGAAGTAGGAAATTACCCTGGAAGAAAAGCTGAAGCAAGGGGCCACGTTCCAAGTTGCTGGGTGCTCTGACAACCTATCTCCCACTTCAAGAGGGCACCCTCTCCCCACCCTTATGTAGCGGAGAAAGCTCCTTCACAAAATCATTTTAGGTAGTGAGGCTTTACCACTTGTATCTTCAGACTGCAATAATTCTTAGCAATTACCACTGGCCTACAATTATTGATTTGAGCATTTCCACATAAATTACTCATTTCCTCCTTTTCTGTGTGTGTTTTTAATCCCCAACAGGGCTCTCGTGTGAAAACAATGGGTACAGAAAGCGCTTGGAAGGACTGTTCTAGGAAATGGACAGCAGAGGAAGAAATCGTGCTTTTTAATTTTTTTCTACGCTATGCTTGTCTTAGTTTCTGGGTCAGTAGTTTTCCTTGAGGGAGCCTTAATTTTTAATTAGTAGAACAGTATCAGCCTCAGCCAAGGCCCTTAGTGCACGCACAATCCACTGTGGGATGATCTCAGGAACGTCAGTGTCCGTGAACGTTGGCAAGCTCACAGCCACAAAGGCAGCAACACCCCGAGGGCCTCGTGGGAGCCAAGTACCCCTGCTTTCCGGTGCGGGCAGGGCGAGCTGTGCCTTCAGCGTGTGCCTGGGTCCTGCTGCCCTCCAAGGCTCCAGCTCCAGCGGCTGTTCCTTTGTACCTTTCTAGGAGGGCAGCTTCCGTCATTTCTCTCTTCCTCTAGAAGCTCCCTCAAAGCTCCAGAGCAAGGAAATCCCAAGAGAGACCCAAGAGCAAACTGTGGTGCTGTCTACCGTGGTCTTGGTGGGAGTTGTTGTGGGCACGATTCCCCCGGCCTGGTGTGCTTTGCTCTTTGTAGATGTGGGGCTGCCAAGGCTGCTGGGCTTGGCCTTGTGTAGCTCACAGGAAAATTCGTGGTGTCCCCTAGTCCCCATGAGGAGTGTGAGGTGTCGCTCTGTTTCCAGCAGTGACAACAGAGAGCGTCAGGGCTCAGCATCTTGTGTTTGAGATGATTGATACCCCGACAATTGGGTCCCATGAGAAGGTGGCATCTTGGCTGAGGCTGTCAATAACAAGCACTTTGTTTTGAGTTTGGAAGGTGTGTGGAGTTCTTTGTATTTAGAGTGCCTCTGAGAGGCCCACACCTAGCAGAATTCCTCAGAGGACTGGGGAGGACTGGGGGGCGGGGGGTGGTGGAGAAAGAAAGAAACTCTGTTTTGTGGCTTTGGTTACCAAACCACCTGACCTAGCCCACATCTCATCTTACTGACCTTCTAGCACCACCCCCCATCCCACCACTCACCTACAGCACTCTCTTCCTTACCTCTGCTCAGAGGCTGTCCTCACCTCCCCTCTCTGCTCAGAGGCTGCCCTCACCTCCCCTTTCTGCTCAGAGGCTGCCCTCACCTCCCTTTTCTGCTCAGAGGCTGCCCCTCACCTCCCCTCTCTCCCAGAGGCTGTCCTCACCTCCCCTCTCTGCTCAGTGGCTGCCCTCACCTCCCCTCTCTCCTCAGAGGCTGTCCTCACCTCCCTTCTCTGCTCAGAGGCTGCCCTCACCTCCCCTCTCTGCTCAGAGCTGCCCTCCCCTCCCCTCTCTGCTCAGAGGCTGCCCCCCTCTCCTCCCTGCTCAGAGCTGCCCTCCCCTCCCTTCTTTCCCAGAGGCTGTCTTCACCTCCCCTCTCTTTCACACGCTGCCCTTACCTCCTCTCTGCTCAGTGGCAATCTAGCCTCTCCTGCTTCTTGAGCTCTGTTCTCCTCCTGTCCATATGTGGTTCTGACTCCCAGAGTTTTCACACGAAGAAGACTGAATACATAGTTTCTCTGGCCCTGTTTGCTCTCTTCTATCCCCACTGGAGCTGATCCTCACAAATGCAACAAAAGTTGCCCCTTAGTTCTACTCTGATGCCTCTCCAGGCTCTAGCAACTGCTATAGTCAGTCAAGAACAGCAGACCATGGCTCTGGCTTGCTGTGCTTACCTGACGCTGTTGCCCAGGTGGGTAGTAAGGCATCTTGGCCAAATTATATACAAGGGAAGATGCCTAAGACTTTGTTAATCTTTGGCCCCGGAATGAATAAAGTCAGCATATCCTGCCTTCTAGTAAAGTGAGAGTTGTGGGATGGGTTGAGTCTCAAGAAAGATGAAGCTCACATTGGCATTGGATGGATATGTATGGTGACAGCAGGCCAGATCTTTCTTCCCTTTGGCAGAATGAGGTGGCTAATCATGCATAGAGAGATGGGGGACTTTTCCCCGGTAACTGGAGGCCACAGTGACCAAGAACCCAGGATCAGTGACCCTGGGAAGTCAGTGTAGAGAAGAAATGTCAAGAGAGCCAAGGATTGGTTGACAAGAGGGTCATCGTGGCAGGCAGGGGATGATAAAATGGAGAGGGGGATGTGTTGTGAGTTGGGTCTTCCAGGAAGCTGACTCTGAGTTGGAGATTTGTGCATAGTTAGCTGATAAGGGAGTGATGCTGGGATCAACACCTGGGGAAGGAAGAGAAGAAAGCACAATTGGGCAGAAGGCGGAGTTGGTCTGTGATGCAGTCTTAACAGAGGACTTAGCCAACCCCATGGGGAAATCAGAAGCTGAAATAACTCTTCAGAGTTGTCCTGAATTGGGGCAAGGAGCCTGGATCTTTATTTTGCCTTAAGAAGAGGGTGTGCTTTGCTCTTTTTAGCTAAGGCAATTCCCAAAGAGGGCTAACAGCTGAGTACTAGCCCTGAAGGGGGACTGTAGGAAGCAGTGCCCTGAGGTATCCACTATACTGTGCAATTTAAGGAATCACAGGCAGGATGCCCAGAGAAAGGGAATCTCCCAAAGGTCTGTGAAGAATTAACAAAAGCTCTCGTGAGGTATTGTGAGGGCTAGACCAAGAAAGGGTCTGTCCACACCCCTGTCCCCACCCTGTCCCCACCCATCCCTTCTTTACCTTGGTAATTTCACAGGAGCACTGTGGTTGGGATGAGAGAGGCCCTACCAGGATTTTAGCCCACCTAGGGCCAACAGGAAGTGACCAGCTCTTTTTGCAAAAGATTGGACCACAAAGGTTTTGACTTTGCAATATGCTGATCGGGAAGCTACTCCCTACTGCCCAGGTTTCTGACATTGGCTTGGCCCAGTGTGGCATCTCTCCAGCTGCTAGCACAATAGGTTTCTAGAAGACTGGCCAATTTTCGGGTGCCTGGGTGGCTCAGTTGGTTAAGCGACTGCCTTCGGCTCAGGTCATGATCCCAGAGTCCCGGGATCGAGTCCCACATCGGGCTCCCTGCTCGGCGGGGAGTCTGGTTCTCCCTCTAACCCTACCCCCTCTTGTGCTCTCTCTCTCACTCTCTCTCTCAAATAAATAAATTTAAAAAATCTTAAAAAAAAAAAAAAAAAGACTGGCCAATTTTCAATTGTCTTGACGGTCATTTCGGGATAAAGTTGAATCTGAATGAGCCCATGTGCCAGCATGTATGCTTAGAGAAAACAGTCAGGCCCTATTCCATTCTTGAAGACTGAGAGATTTTCTCCAAAACAACCTCAGGTGTGATTGGGGCCAGAGACGAACTGATAACTTACTATATTGCATTTTGTAATGACCCCACTGATGTCATCTAAGTTTTAATCATGTGGGAGTACTCTTGTGTGTGTGTGCGCGCGCGCGCGTGTGTGTGCGTGTGCGTGTGTTCACTCTAAAACAGTGCTTGCTCCAGATATTAGGGGCCCGTTGGAGAATGTTTTCTCACTTGGCTTCTCTGAGTTTCTTCCACCCACTCTGCACTTGCGTCCTCTAACCCTTCACTGTACCTTAGTAGTCTTCGGTCCATATCATTTGCTATATAGTTTCAAATGTAGCAAGCTCCTTTCTGATGATATATATCTCCTTTCTTCAGTCTTTGCAGCCTCTTCCAGTCTCATTTTAAATATTACAGCTCATCATTTTGAACACTGCGCACTTTGAATGATTTCGTTGGCTATGGTTTAGTTTTTGTGTTAAGATTCAGTGGGTTTATTTAAAAATAAGTGTCATCTTTGATGGGTCTTGGAGATAAAAAGTGGATATTTCACAGATGCCACACAGACATGGCTGATGAAGTTCGTGAGCTCATTCATGTCCACTCTCTTCTTTGTCTTCCATTGATCTATGGAGTTGCCCATCCTCAATAAATTCATAAAGAGTGATAGAAAATAGAACATTCCAGGGTGCCTTGTGCTTACAGAGGTCATGAAACTTGTTTTGGATAACTTGGAGGAAGTTTGATCAGGTAATGGAAACAGAGAGAGCTCCCCTCTTCAAGACAATGCAGAATGCATATTGCTTACTGTATGAGACTCCAGCATGCGCTGGAGGGGCAGATTACTTGGGTTTGAGTCCTGGATCTCCTATTAAATGAAGGGAAGTGCACATAATACAAGGATAATTGAAGCTGAAAGAGATCAAGTCAAGCCATTTAAGATGAACTGAAAATTTAAGTGAAGCTTTTTTAATCTAAAAAAATAGAGCTACAAATTATGAAAATAAAAATTTATCTTATTCAATAGAGCATAGATTATAATTGCAACTATGTGTTCATTCTTAGAATGAACACAGATAAATTTCACGTGGCTATTTTGGCATAATTTTTAAACTAAAATGGTACGTGGCATGATACAACAGCTTTCATTTAATGTATGATTTTATAGAAGAAATTTTTTGGCAAACATACTAGAAAGCTCCATTCGTTTTTCCAAGGATCTTTCATAATTCCTTGACATTTAAGTCATTGTTTTTTGAAACCCACATCCTGTTACCATCCTTGTTGATTTTTCTTCTCCAAATGTTAACTGCTTTACCTAGTTTGTCAATGGTTTTTCATGCATTTTTAAGCAATATTTCAATACTTTCATCAGCTTCATAGACTCTTGAATCTTTTGAAATAATTTCAAAGGTATTTGTAATCAATTTGCATTTTTATTTGCAATGTACTATGTTCTCTTATTTTTTATTTTGAAATAGTTTTAGACTCACAGAAAAATTGCAGAAGGAGGACGGAGTTCCTGTATACCCTTTACCCAGATTCCCCTTAATGTTAACAACTTACATAACTAGGATAAACAGTCAAAACCAGGAAATGAACACGGGCACATGATTTTTAACTAAAGTATACACCTTACTCAAATTGCACCAGTTTTTCCACTGATGTCCTTTTTCTGCACCAGGATCCGATCCAAAACCCCCCTCCCATTGTGCTGTTCTTTTACCTCCTCAGTGCCCCCAGTCTGTGAGGGTTCCTTGGTCTTTCCTTGTCATTTACCATCCTGACATTTTGGAAAAGTATTGACCAGTTATTTTATATGCTGTTTCTCAATTTGGGGCACTTCTTATGCTTTCTCACAATTATATTGAGGTTATAGATTTTTGGTAAGATCTCAGAAGTGATGTACCCTCTGGGCATCCTATCTGGGGGGTACATGATACTGGTATTTCCTATTGTGATGACGTTAATTCTACTCACTTTGTGGAGATGATGTTTGCAGGGTTTCTCCACTACAAAGTTACTGTTTCTACCTTTGAAATTAATAAATATCTTGAGAGATAGTTTCAGAGTATGCAAATATCCTATTTTTCCTCAAATTCTCATTCTCCAATTTTAGCATCCATAGATGGAACTTGCATACAACAATTATTACTGTGGTGTTTGACACATGGTAATATCCTATTCCTCTCATTCCTTCTACACTTATTAATTGGAATTTGGATTTTGAAGACTTAGTACAAAGAGCAGAATGTAAAAAATCTCATTAATAGCTTTTATATGGGGGTGCCTGGGTGGCTCAGTCGTTAAGCGTCTGCCTTCGGCTCAGATCATGATCTCAGGGTCCTGGGATCGAGCCCCGCATCGGGCTCCCTGCTTGGTGGGAAGCCTACTTCTCCCTCTCCTCCTGCTTCTGTTCCCTCTCTCGCTGTGTCTCTCTCTGTCAAATAAATAAATAAAATCTTTAACAAAAATAGCTTTTATATGGATTACATGTTGAAATGCCAATTTTAAAATACATTGGGTTAAACAAAACATATTAAAATTAGCTTCCCTTGTTTCTTTTTACTTTTTATAATGTGTCTACTAGAAAACTCAAAATGACATGCGTGGCCACATTTGTGGCTCATATTACATTTCTATAGGACAGTGCTGCTCTAGGGACTCAGATAATGAACTTTTGTGCTATCTCATAGGATGATTGTAGGAATAAACGAGAGTGCTATATAAAGTGCTTGGCATAGTGCCTAGCAAACAGTGAGTACTCAGTAAAAATTGTCCACTATTACTGAGTTACAAAAGGACAGTCATTCTCATGAACTCTCGACTTCTCAGGGGGAACTGAAATGTTTTCATTAAAGACATCAGTCAATCAGGACTTCCCTAAGTGGAGGAGAACCTGCTAGAGACACTGAGCTCCTTCTCAGGCCTAGAGGACCTGTACTTTAGTTGAGAGCCAGTGGAGAAAACCAGAGTTTACTTACGGAAAACTGGGCTGGTTGCTGATTCCAACAGGAAATCTAAGAAGACAGGAGGAGAGGGAGGAATACACACGAATTCAGCCACTGAGAAGTGCAAAAAATGTGTTGCCTTGTGGGACAGAGGCCCAAATGAAAAGACTTTTTGCGAATGATGGATAGGGACTCACACCAGGCCTTTGGTTATCAGTGATGGATGGCCTGCTTAAAAGGCACCTCATCTTTCTGGATCAGCCCGACAGGTAAGGCCACCTGGTGCTCTCCCTTCTTCTTGGGGCATAACTGATGAGCTTGCCAGGCTGAGTCATGTACCAGAATGTGCTTTTCCAATTAGTAGCATCCCAGGTATATTCTCTTCCTGATGGCAGTTAAGACACAAGCCACATTCCTTTGATCTAATGATTGGCACTGCTAGCAAAGCTTCTCTAGGATCTGTTATTTCACCCTAGAAGTTACTTGGGTCCCAAGCAAAAAAATGATGAAAAATCATGGAATGGTCAATACTCCAGATGTATCTGTCTAAAGGTACATGGATAATTCCCAAAACACCTTTATTCAACTACCTTACATAGGTAGTCTTACTAGGCTCTGTTCAAAGTGCTTTGCTTATAATCACTCATTCAATCTTCATGTCAACCCTGTGAGATAGATACTACCATTATTCCCATTTTATAGATAAGGAAACAGAAAGCACAGAGAGGTTAGATTAAGTTACTTTCCCAAGATCACATAGCTAGTTAGTGGCAGAAGTGGGATTCAAACCTAGGTAGTCTGGTTCCAGAGTCTATGCTTTTAACTATGACTCATATTGCCTCTCTATGGGAGCTGCCTTCTGCCCACACCCCCCCACCCACCCACCCAAAGAGAAAACTCAATAGTAGTTTTGTATTTGAGGCTTTAAAATTAAAGCCCCTGGAGATTTTTGCTCATCTTAATGGGTAATTGCTTCCCTCTTTACCAATTTTCCAGAGGAGGAAACTGCATTTTCCAGGGGAGGAAATTGAGAGGGTAAAATGAAGGGTTGTCTGTGATTTGCTCAAAGCCTTGGGCACTTTCTTTTAAGAAGGGGATAGAGAATCTTCTATATTGGCTGTCCCTTAGCTCTAAAGAGTGAATTAGTTTGGCTGGGTAGATATGTCTCTCTCTACTCCTTCGGCTTTCTGTGTTTGTGTGCTATCATTTGCTAAAGATATGACAATGTGCTCTTTGCTTGGGTTTGCAGCTAGGAGACCTATGTGTGTTTTCCCACCTCCCCCAGGAATGCAGCTAGAAAAAGTAAGAGCATCCAAGAGCCATCTGGGAATGTGTCCCAGACCTGCTCCAGATTGGGGCACAGAGCCAAGTGCACACCCACCAGCTTCAGAGTTCACCTGGATTAGACTCACTGCAGAGAGGTTTGTCACCAGGAATGATTTATCTGGGATCCTAGCTGTTCAGATTCTGGCAGGTGACCCTCTGGGAGGGAAGTAGCCAAGATATAGCTCTGAATTTGATGTGTAAGGTTCAGAGTCGAGGTGTAGCTTTGACCCTGCCATCACCAAGCTTTGGAATGGGGATACATCTCTCACTTTGATTGCTTCCAGACTCCTGTTGTCTCCCTGAGAAATGTGGAGAACGGCACCTAAGCTCATATCAGCCAAGCATGCAGACTGTCTGAGAGGTAGCTGAGAGATCTAGAGAAGCACATGAAAACCTCTTGATGTGATTTCATTATATTTATTTAGGCAACGGAATTGTATGAGTCAGGGTCCTATCAGAAAACAGACAGCACATTCACACAGGAAT